ATAGTCCGCCTCTTCTGCAAGACTTTGGGTAGTTCCTATCGCAGCCGACGGGGCTTGGATCCACGACTCAAGTGGCAAGATGTTTGAATTAAATGCTAGGGGCGCAACGGAACTCCGGTTCAAATGTCAGACCTCACCTAGGTTGGGATATTTTACTGACAGGCAAACCAGAGCTGTTCCTTCTAGTCCGGCTTTAAAAATATGACTGGAATACTTTTCACAAAGATGTCTGAGAGCTACAGTTATGGGTACTCCAGAAATGGGTTCTTTATGAGGTGAAAACTTAAACTTGTGGTCACTTGAGAGGGAGCTTTGTTGAATGACAATATTATTTACTTTATTTTATGGTCTTTTCGTGCTTCGGTTATTGCTCGTCTCTAATACCATTCTTAAAAGATAGAAAGCTGACGGTACCTAGCTTTTCCAAACGTCAGATCGTTTTAAAAGCACTCCCCTTCAGGAATTGTATTGGTGATGGTAGTAGTAGTAGTACTGTCGCCCTCCATCATTTTCGATGTGATTCAGTCTGTTCAATGTGAGTAGTTTAAGTATATAAGAATGATAGTCTGAACTGTGTAAGTGAATTATTTCTCACACCAGTTGATGTCGCGGTAACCGCGTCGTGCATGAAATGTAATTGGCTTACGGTCAACGTTTAAGGTTTAGGTTAGGGTTGGGGCTAAGGTTAGGATTAGAGTTAAGTTCGCCGTCCGCTTCCCCATTCCTAGCTACCAACTGCGATCTAGCCAGCTTATAACCCAACTACGCTTGATTTTAGGAGTTTTAAGCGAGATTCAATTTCTGACGAGTTATCTGTCCAGGGTCCGCGCCCCTTACCACAAGAAGGTTGGGAGTGGAAAGAAGGTCATTATGGTATAACCGCGTAAAATCTCATTTTAATCCTATCGAGCTCGGCTAAATTTTGCGAAAGAGAGGGCTGTGATAAACAGACAGGGGAGAATGAGTTCCGTAAGAACTATGAGTGAGCGTCTTCTACCAAAGACAATTGTGTTTGAAAATCCCTGTGCAAAAATATGTTTCATATTTGCGGCACAGAGTTTAACGGCGGACATCAAACAGTTTAGATACAGGTTCCGAGGGTTTTTTCTTGTCTTACGCATACGATCTCTGACTTTTTGCTTGCTTGAGCCTGTTCTGATTCTCACATTGTTGTATAAAATGGTTTCCGCAAACGTGCGTACCTTTCCTTATGCGTGTCATTCAGATTCTACCAAAATAAACGCAGGAATTCTCGAGTCAGCTGAAAGGGAAATGCCAATGAGACTAAAGTGAAATTTGTTTAGTTTCTAAGAAATATATATATCTATACATATATACGCATTTATACAGTAAATGGACGCTCACAAACTAGGTTACGGGTTGTTCACGTTTCGCTGTGTCTTGCGACTCAAATTATAACTCTCGCAGGCAGTCGCATAACGACAAGTAACGGAGGTATATAGGAGGTATCGACAAAGTCAAGAGAGACCATAATTTACACTTCTGGCTTGTTGGCAGAAATCAACCAGTAATACCTAACCCTGAGTGCGCAGCGTCAAAGCACACTGGGACAAGCACGTCACGTAACTTGGCTGGTGAGCATCCATTTACCATAATTAATGTTCCACAACCGACAGGACAACGGGCCCCTGGTTTAATGATAGAGCGCTACACTCCATAACCGAAGATCCCGAGTTCGAATCTTAGGTGCCCCACACCTGCGGTTTGGTATGACTGGCTGGTGACTGCTGACAGGCCAGGAACTAATACTTCGGTCTCCCATGTATTTACCTCCAAATGTATGGTTAACAATATGCGTACTAATATTGTCGCCAAAGGCAAGAAGGACTGGAGCAGCCGTTTCCGGCTTAGTAGCAATCATCAGCCGGTCTTGTCAAACCCCAGGGGCTCGAACCTTTGTCCGGTTGGTTAGAAGGCCAATGCCCCAACCACTGAGGCGCGGATCCATTGCCCAGTCAGTCGCGGTTGGGTATGTGAACAATGGCGGACGGAGGCGCCCGCCGACCAGATTACGTGTATACTCTTCTTGTTGTGCCATGGGGTTTGATCTTGATCCCCGCCAGCAGCCGGACAGCGGCCAGTAATATAGACAGAAAGGCATTACCACAAAGACGCAGAAGTCTGGCTGAGGCCGACTAGAACATTGGTTTGCCATATCCTAGGCATGGGTGCTAGCTAAAAGCTCAGACAAGTGTACGGCAAATTTTACGCCGCTACACGATGCAAAGGGGTTTGATCCGGCTTACCTTATGCGCTTTCTGGTATATATTCTATTTTTCATTGTCTCTTGGTTTGGCGATTATTTTACCTCCCGCACTCAGTTTCTCCACTCCGTCAAGCAGGCATCTACGGTCCTTTCCAATGACTGTGGAGTTCTTCAAGGTTCCATTTTATACTCTCATCTCTACACCCTCTACACCGATGATCTAAAATCCCCAAACGACTGTCTATTGGTTAAGAATGCTGATGATGTGGTTTTTGGACATCCTCTCAAAAATCCGACACATATCCAGTCTTAAGGATGGCCTTGACCATGCAAGAAAATAATGGTATCCTAATGAACAATAAAAAATAGATCAATGGATTTTCCGACAGCGGTCCTCTCCTGGTTCTGAATCCTTTACCACCCTTAGCAATTAGGCATCCTCTTTTAGATACCTTGGCGTTACTTAATCCTAAAATCTTTCATTTTCCCTCCCTATAGAGACCCCATTTGCTAAAGTTCGTAAACTGCGTTATTACATCCGTTGCTGACGTTCCGACCACACACCTCAGCCCTTAATATTGTGCCTGCATTCTTTCTCTTATCCCTAATTTTCTTTTGTAACCTTTCCTAGTATGCTTAAAAAAGATCTGTTCATTTTTGTACGACTATTTCGAATGTTATCTTCTGCTGCCGGTGCTTTTTTAATCTCTTTTTAGTCGGTATTATGGCTAGATCGCAGTTGGTAGTCCGGAATGGGGAAGTGAACGACGACCTTAACCCTAACCCTAACCGTAACCTCAACCTTAGACGGTAACCGTTAACCCTAACGGCACCCCGAACCCTAACCCTAACCAAAATCGTAGACGTAACCGAAGACCTTAGAAATAGCTGTAACTGAGAAACCTAACCGTAATACTGAAACCTATTCGTACGCCAAAACCCCAACCGTAACCCGAAAACCTAAGCCTAAATGCATAACCCTAACCCGAAGATCGGAAACCATTAACTGGTACCACAGTCCTAACCTCAAACGTAAAACTGAAGCCAAATGTGTCAGATGTGATTATGGAGTCCCACAAAATAGTCCCAATAAACAAACCCCCAGCCACCTGTAATACGGGGCCTGGCTACCAACCGCGATCTAGCCGGCATTATTAAAGAACGACATTTTAAAACGATAAAGCACTTTACTGGTCAACTTCTAGATGATGCTGCCCATTCTCTGCATTCTCATCCTATCCCCGCGAAATCTTCCCGCTCCATGCGCCGTGGCTTTTGAATCATCTCTCTGCATATAAACATTCAGTATCGCCATTCCTGGCGCGATATCTTACGTGTGAAGAGACTGAAATGCAGAAGGTAAGACCCGAACTGTTCAAATAATAGTCGTCTCTTTTTGTGTTTATATTTTTGACTTTAGAGTAATTTATTAACGTATTTTCTGTCCACAGTGAATGGGGCCCATTTTTGCTGAAAATTTTGAATTTACGATTCAAAACTAAAGCGAATTCCTCTCTTCCCCTCTGTTTAGGGACAGCGGATTTTCTCAGAAATCAACGGACTTACTTAAAGTACACTATACGGAGCAAACAATTCCAGACTCATTCCGAATGACAATTTAACTACTTGCGCCAAACCAGAACATCGTTAACCGATTACCCGACATTATATCTACATTCTGCCATCAGGCAGTCCGTAGTATACTGAGGTTCAGCTATCGCAGAAGATAACGTCCACAGTGTGCCCCACGGCGTCGCAAATTCAGGAAGGTGACTCGCGCGTGAATTAGTCTATAGTGATTGCAGTCTCGAGCGGTATCTGCCACTTTCTGCCTCGCCTTCTCTCTCCCTCACTCTCCAGCGCCCGAATTTTGTTTATATCCAAAGCCTATCCGCAGTACGGCTGCTGTCAATTAAGAGATAAGGAGACCGCAGGCGGGATCGGATGCAGGTGGCTGACAAGGCCAAGCATCCCGTCTATGTCTGTCACACACGCGCACAGTGAACTAGGTTTTCACAGAAAACACCCCTTGTACGCACACAAAAGACTGACAGCGTGGACTGTGTTATTTCATCAGCTGGTAGCCTACCAACTCCCGACTTTAGTACATTGCGATATATTCAAGGGAGGCAGGTCCACTTTAGTAAGGACTGCATCGAATTGCTAGTGGGGTGAATTCCCCGGCGTCAACCTTAATCTTGAGATATTAACCTCGGTAAACGTCAGAACCTGCCAAAATTCGCCTCTGAAGAATCTGGAAGCCTTTAGTCTCGTTCACGAGTTTTAAAAGCTCCCTAAGAACGTGTTGTTTCATGCTGCGGTGTTATTTCGAGACAGACATCGGCCAGGAAAAGTATGAACCATAGATAACGTGGAGGATGTTGCCGGTGGAACAACGGTAGACTGGGCTTTTTCCACTCTTATGCCCACAGTCGATCCGACTGCGCTGACAGAAGGAGATAGCAGCCTGATCTCCTCGTGGTTGCGTTATGCAGCAGGATACCCGGTGAACAGGTGTTTTTGCGTTAGGGTAGCAGGCATGTCTAGGTTATGCAAAAAAATTCAGTCTGTATCTAATAATTGAGAAGGGTATGGTTTAGACCCGGTCGATAACGACGAAGGTATCATCCAGATACGTGGCCCATAACTTCGGTCTGTGGTGTTCGAAGACCAGCGACTCGAACCGTTGTAGGACCGCGATGAAACCCGAAATCCGCGAACCCATGGTGTGCCCTTCACCTGTTCGTAGATTGTCCTGTCGAGCGTGAAGTACGTCCAGAGACGGAAGTTCAGGGGCTGAAGGGCTTGGGCCTGTCCAAGACGATTATCCGTTTCATTGTATTTGTTTTGTAGAAGCAACTTGAATGTCTCGATCGCCAGGTCCCAGCGATCGTGTCTCCTTCCTCAAGACTGCTTCCTGGGATTCGTCTCTTCGCTTCCATTGTTCACGTTTGTGTTGAGAATAAGACTGATGCCCGATCATGCTTAAGCGTTCGGGCTCGTCCAAAATGGAGACCGTATGAGCGAAGCGACAACTAAACACCTTTTGTAGTCTCCGTCTGGAGCACGCGGATGCTGACGCGCGCCGGTGTCACAGAAGTCGCTGGAGGAATCGCTGGTGTCTGATACCAACTCCAACAGACATGTTGATCTAACCGCCGCCCCCCCCACCGCTACCACGCCCTACGCCCACGCGACCAGGTGTCGCTGGCCGCTTCCCCCCAAGGATGCAGGCCCTCACCTCGCCGTAGGCCCGCTGTGGGTTAGAAGGCGTGGGCTCGACCCAGTCGCGGACACTACCCCCTCTCAGTATCCTACCCTCCTTCTTTGGCAACAAAACTTGTTCATTTATTATTTCATTCGTATAGCTTCTGATGCTGGCGCCCTGTATGATTTCGAAAACCCAGGCTACTACACCTATTGATTCTTCTTCTTCTTCTCCTTCATCTTCCTCTTCTTCTTCTTCTTCTTCTTCTTCTTCTTCTTCTTCTTCTTCTTCTTCTTCTCCCCCTTCTTCTTCTTCTTCTTCTTCTTCTTCTTTTCGTGTCATGGATTTTTTATCTACCACCTTCCAAATATGAAATTGCTGTGAATAGTGGCGGCTTGGAATAATTGTAACCCTTCGCTCAGCTTAGGATAAACTTCGGATTCCGAAGGATAAACTGGTTCTGCCGACGCGTAGGAAAGTACACTTATTTACGTTGAACGGTAGAAGCCAGTCTTTCGACCATTGCTCGAGGTGGTCCAGACTTGTCTGCAGTCGCGCCTCGTCAACTTCGCTTCGTATGGTACTCCAAATCTTTATGTCATCGGCAAACATTGCAACATCGCAATTCAGTTCGTTTGCGCAGTCATTGACGTATACGAAGAAAAGCGTAGGGCCAAGAACGGAGCCTTGGGGAACACCACTCTTAACGGCAACCTCGGCAGATTGTTGGTCACCGACGTGGACGGCTTGAGAGCGGCCGATTAAAAAGCTCCGAATCCACATCAGAAGCTTACCCCGCACTCCTGCACGGCTAAGTTTGTATAGAAGACGGTGGTGAGGCACACTATCGAAGGCCTTTTTAAAGTCGATAATCATTAGAGTTTGCCCATCTTTTAGGTCTCTGTTTCTAATTCAGACCTCGACCACTTTGTACTACGGGTGTGGGCTGTCCTCCAGCATCAGGTGGAGTAATTGATGGAGTCTGAATTTTTGTTGGTTGATCTGCTGTGGAGTGGTTAGTTTTAGGCCACCCAGGTGTTTGGAGCGGACTGTGAACTCAGCCACAAAAGTTCATACGACAAGCAGATTCGTTCACTGTTCAAATTGTACTCTGTGTGTCCGCCACGCGGACCCTTTTAGAGGACAATGCGGTAGTTTGTGGCGTGTGCTCTGACGCCAGCAGGAAAGTTCACAGCAGAGCCACCCACACCCTCCCCAAAAAAACTTTCTTAAACGTTATTTGCACGCCAAAGTCTGCTGACACTGTTCCCTCCATGCAGACGCTCATCCTTAAAAATATTTCGTTACCGTCGGATCCCGGAGGCCCAAGGAATCAACTAAGTCACTTCTTGGACGGTCACAGTGTGTCGGTCAACTGGTGCTGATTGGTATCTGAATTTTTCATTGCAAGTCCCCACAACCTTGTGGGGTTTCATTGAGGCCGTTTCACTAGACTACATTAAACTCTCGTGGACCATCAACTACACGGGCCTATGGAAAGCCCATCAGAGATTTGGTGCCTTATTCACGGTAATTAGAGTGTAAACAAGGTATAGAATTAGTCAGGTTCACTTTGACGATCAGTCAATCACAGTTAAGGCCACTTTTCGGATGTTTAATTCAATGTGTGGGGCCGTGAGACACGTCCAAGTACCCTGCTCTAATCAGACAAACAGTGTAAGGCTTAGTGCGCCCAGCTATAAAAGCTGAGGCCTATTAACAGCGATGCCACCACACTTTATGTTTACACGTATGAAAGGCACACTCTCTTCTTACCGCAGTGGCCCAGTAGTACCATCTTCTTCCGGATAATCGGAGTGATTGTTCACTAGAAGTAATCCTTGAGGCATAGGTGTTTCAAATGTATCTTTTTCATTCTCACCCTTGCCACAGACTGAACACTTCATGGAAGCAGAGCTGAAAGTGGAGCCGGAAGTGAAGGTTGATATGCCTTGCTCGGCAAATAATGAACTGTAATCATTTGAGCCGGCACTGCGCATCAGGCCAGTGTGCGGGGATGACGTCAGCGTTCTCAAAGAGCGGAAGTGCCTACGCGTGGGAGAAAAAGTGTCCTTGACAGACAAATGAAGGCGGAAGTCTTCATTGTCAGCTGGAAAAGTCAGTGACCTTGACAATGACGTTTTCTGATATCACCGATCTGCCTGTAAAATTTTTAATAAGGCGAAAGGATTGGAAAGTGAAGATGATCCCAGGTCTTGGTCTTTAAGTCGGACATCTTGACCTTGGTGGGATGTACGAAGCGGCAAGCCTTGCCTATACTCGTTAGTAGTTGAGAGTATTTACACTCTGTTGGTTGCACCATTGCACGCTTCCTTAGCTGAAATTAGGTCGCGTAAAAAGATCCATTTCCGTAGACAGCACTGTTTCTTAGCAGCATCCGGCCACTGTGAAAGTTTTATTCCGCTTCTTCTCCGAGGGATCAGCTCATTATTGTGGAGTGTATTTAAGCAGGTACGAAACTTAACATTCAATGTTTAATTGAATTGTCCAAAAGGCGTGCAGAAGCGTGTTGATAACGGCGTATAATAAAGACATTCATCTATTATTTACAAGGCTAACAAGTGAAAATTACTTTAAAGGAAAGTGGATGGTGATCCCATGCTTTAGCTTATGTTTGTCCTAAGCAAGAGAATTAAAATAGTTATAAATGACGACTATTTTGGGAACTAAATCGCATTTCAGGTGTTCCCTAAGTTTCTGCACTATATATCGTATCTAAAATTTGTCTGTAAACAAACTTCGTATAATTTTTTAAGTTTATACACAACGACTTACCGACGGACATGAAATATGGTGGTAGACTTGGATGACGCCGCGTGCATTGTGAGCGACCCCGTTAAGCCTGTAAGCATCACGTTAAGCGAATACTCAATTTAGGGCACAAAATTTCTCAATGCCCAAGTTTTAAATCCCACCTCTTCGTTTAAGCATTAACCCTTGAAAAAATGGACATTATGAAGAGCCCGTAGAAGAAGTGGAGTTTTTTGCAGCTTTAAACCAAAGTTTTGTTGAGTACAAGTAGGTACTAAAGCGCCGTAGGATAAATACGCATTGCGGGAGTAGTGATTACTATCAGAGCGGGGAGGTAGGTTTCACAGTTAATTCAACATTGCGTTGCTGTGAGTTAACTTTAAATGAGCTACGTCATCTCAATGACTAAATGAAACTGCTATCTTGACGCGAGTCTCATTCTACAAGAAAACTCAGTAGGCATTGCTAATTCATTTTAATAGATAATTGAAATAATCTGGTTTTTTATAACTAATTTCCCGTGTAACATTTCAAAATTGCTCCAGGCTGTACTATATGTGGCGAATAAACTCCTGAAATGTGCATACATTGATGGGTCTCGGTCACTGTGCAAAATAATCACTGAAAGTAATAGTACTTCGGTTAGGAATAACACTTATTAGAAGTAGAATTTTTGAAATCGCGAAAATTTAGACCCAATGCACAAACAAATTTTGTTAAATTTCACATGGCCTATCCATACGAATAACTAAATACGTAAATCAGCATAAATAATACAGCTTTTGTAAACGTTTTTATGCAGTTGGCATCTAAACATCCTCCACGAAGTAGTGTAATGTCAATTACGGTACCTAGCCAAATGTTTAATGTTCCAAGATGGTGTTAGGAGAATTTGATGTTATTGTTTTCCATCCATGCTGATAAAAATGCGGTTGAGTGAGGCGAATAGGATTACGCTTGATTTCGCAAATAAAACGCCGCAGGAATATAATTTTCGCGAGACCCCATGTCGAGAGAACGGCTAGTCACTAAGAAATCAAATGAGGATTACCAGATACAATAGTATGCATGCAATTTTCTGTGTCACAAGTTAATTTTTCCATAAAAGTACTGTTTGCTTTTTGGCGATGGTAGACTCCGCTGAGTTTTGGAGTGTTCTTGAAATATCAGTGAATATTTTATTGTTTACAGTATTCTCAGTTGACTGCAAAAATGCATATTCTATAATTTTGTTTGTCATGGTCTTTAAAATAAGATAGTCCTTGAAGGTTTTTGTCTTAAAAGTGAGATCTTAGACGCCCCTTTTTAATCAGAAAACTGTTCATATCATACTTGTAGACATACTCAAACATTTAACCTGATCGCCGAAGAAAATGAACGTCCACAGAGAAACCTAAGATGAGTGCGCTGTTGATCAGTCGCTAAAACCCCCGTAAAAAGTTGCCTCTTTATAAAATGCCTTAGACGGGTATTTCACTGACGAATGTCGCGCACTTTGTCTTTTTAATAATAAATTCAAGTAGGTGGTTAAACTGTTTACTGCACTTATTCTCTTACTCAAAAGATGCTGATAGGTTCTCTGTCGCAAACAAGGACTTCCTTCCCTCCTTCCGGTAACCTTGCTCATTGTACGGCTTTATGCTACGAGTAATAATGCGAAACAGAGCGGCTATTCCTAAGTGAATATATTTATAATGGTAGGGGACGCTCATCGATCATTCTTGCGGGAGTCACTCGTTCCGCTGTGCCTTACGGGCTCTCTCTCGAGCCCAACCAGCAGCCACACAGGGGCGCATGATATAGGCAGTATGATATTACCGACAAAGACAGGGGAGACTGAAATGGCCATTTCTGGCTTATTGGCCGTCGTCGGCCAGTCATACCCAACGCCGAAGTATGGAACACCTGGGGCTCGAACTCGCGACCCGTCGGTTAGAAGCCCCAGGTGCGAGGCATTGATGAACTTCGGTTCGATGCATTGGTTATGGTCCATCTGGTAGACCCCAGTGGTGGACCAACTGCGCCAGGTGCCTCTGTGCGCATGTTTGTGTTTCTGGTCCCAACTGCTGGTCAGGGTTATGATTGACTAAATGAAGGCAGAATAAGGCCGAATCAGTACTGTATCAATCTACCCGCATTCACTGTCGTCCCTCCTCGCTGTTATACATACATATATATGGTAATGGTAGTATACCGTACTCCCGACCTAGATACTTGCTAAAAGCCCAGACACGTGTTTCGCCGATATTCTGCCGCTGCGTAACACAGCTGCGAGGGGTTCGGCTCTTCAGTGGGACCCCCAGCGTTCTCTAGCGATTTCTGGTATATAAACTCCAGAGAATAATCCGGTGAACAATTTCAGAAAGTAATCAGTGCAGGACTTGGAGTTAAATCTCCGGGACATGACTTTTTACGCAGCGGCAGAATATCGGCGAAACATATGTCTGGGCTTTTAGCAAGTATCTATGTCGGGAGTACGGTATAATACCTTTACCATATGGAATTCATACTACTCGTAGTACTACTTGTTTGTAGAATGGGCATTACGTGGTTATTCCACAGTAGTTGATTGTCTTCGACTCAAATGTTCATTGAATTTTCGGTTCTGACCCTAAAAAGTCATGTCCCGGAGGTTTATTTCCAAGTCCTGCACTGATTAATTCCTGAAATTATTCACTTGATACATATATATATATATACTCATAGAAGCGAAGATGCGCGTTCCCGGGCATAAATCAGAAGGAAAGGCGATCTCGGGAACCATAGTTTTACTGTCCTGACGTTTCAATAGCATACAAGCTTCCATCGTCGGAGGTGAGTGTGGTATCGAGCCTCACAGTATTTATAGGTGGGTGACAGTCATGTCAAGACGGGTTTTTTTCTTACATACGAAGTCAGGGCGGCAGGGAGGAAGGGGCGGGGAGGGAGTCCTAGAGCGTCTTCTCGCCGGAAGAAGGGTGGAGGGCGGTGGATCAGCTTTAGTGGTCATCAGTGCCTGCACACAGGGACTGTGGCGGACGGAGAGGGAGGGAGGGTGACGGGAAGTACTCAATCTACATCGGGGGGCCGGCGTTGAGACGTTGGTGGTCGTCGTCCGTACCTTCTTTGACCTTAACTGTCGTCCAAGGCTGGCAATCTTGTTTACGCCGCAATGACTGTCCGTTTTCTCGTCCGCCGGACTAGTAGATGGAACGGCTGTGGTGACGACTGCGCCTTCGTCGGAACCAGGTTGAGAGGTGACTGAGTGTGCATCCGCTATGGACTCGCTCATGTCTCGATTCATGTTTAGCCTGGGTTCACGTCTGCTCATTTGTTTGCTGAGCTGCGCTCGAAGGGCTTGATAGGCAGCGGGAAGAGCCACACAACGATTGATGGAGGTTGTCCCCGTGTGCCAAGCCTCGACACATATTGAAAATTTCGGATCACAAGTGACACGTCAACGGGTCGTTGCTCGATGCTAGAGCACCTGGGATCCGAATTTGGATCCCAGGTCTTCTGCCCGAATTTGGGGTCGGGCGTGACCGAATGATGACTGTTTATAGCCCAGAAACGATCATCCCAGTCTCTTTTGCCTTTATTAACTATTCTTTCCGTAAACATTAATGGTCGCTAAATTATTATTTACCATGGATATAAATTGAGCCGCAAGACGCGATAGGACTATTATGCCCCATATCATGGTCGGTTAACGCCCCTTGTTAACGATAATAAATTAATTCATTGTCGCAGGGAAGCGTTTAACGTCAAAATGATTGCTTTAATCTTCCTTGCGTGGCTTGGGAACCGTTCTTGATTAATGACTGGCCACCACCGGAGTGGTCTTGTGATTAGTCTTCCAATACAAAACGTAATATTTACACGTCGTCCTGCAATCCTGGAAATAATCACCAGTAGAAGTCAATGTGGTAGGCCGCTGGTATGATCAAATTGGGTCCTTCATTGGGCTAGCTATACCATGCAATCTCGGTAATCCTCACGAACATCAACATGGAAGGCCGGTCAGTTGCTTAGAAGTTAGGACAGTGCAGCCCATATTCTTTAAACAGCCCACCCATAATGCCGATCATACGACTCTGAGAAGTGGGAAACCGACGCAGATTACGGGCCCTGCGATCGAGACCATTCAGTATTACGTGAGAGTTGTGTTAGCTGGCCTGATTCGGTTGTGGCGTGCACTGCAAAAGTACCCCTTTTCTCTGCAGGCGGTCGTTTGATTACAAGTGTTTGCTAACCTGACGGCATAAAGGGAATCTGCCAGAATGGCTCCCGCGTGAGCCGGGAGCTACTGGAATCATGGTTTACTGGCCCCCAGTCCATCAACAAGTGCAACGATCTTCCGACTCCATACTCCGTGCTAAAACTTCGCCTAGGCGGAGTAACAAGCCATGCGGGGAGGGCAGAGGTGAACAATTTTCCCAACACCGGGGTCGGTGCGTCAGATGGTCGAGCAATCATCACGCCAACATTCGACGCACGTGATTAAATTGCAGCAATTATCGACTCGAATGTCGGCCATCAAGCAATGATCACACCAAGTGAGACGATCCCGGATGAAGGGGGGAGCCGTGAATGTTCATAGGTATGCGGTAGCATGGCTACTGCATGCTATAAATACCGCAGAACCTTCTGCTTTTTTGTCTCTGATGATGGATTCGAGTAGGAATCCGAAACGTCAGGCTAATAAAGCTCTTGTTCCGGCGATCGTGTCTCCTCCTTCAAGTTTTTGACCTGCTGGTCGTCGCCAGTCGAGATCCACTCCACGTCTAGATCGGAAAGAACTAAGTCTTTAACCTATAGCTTGAAATTTTTTTTTTTTCGAAAAGGTCCCCTCAAAATGATACGAAGTAGGCAACACCTCGCAGGTTACTCGGGGATTTTTCAGATGGGCTCATACAGTTAAAATTTTTCTCATAATAAACAGACCGGTGATTTGCGTTACCCGCCCAACCTGCTATAACGCCAGGCATCCACCAAATCTGATACCGTAGGCTGACTCCACAAGCAGAGTTTTCTAAGTAATCCATCTAGAATCTACCAGATGACTACCGGGATCACGTTGCTAGTAGGTGTTTTGGAAGACGATGTGGGGGGGGACAACGTGCACCTTAGGAAGCCCTGCGCGGACAAAACGGGCCATTTTGGGTCGATAGATAGATGTAAGCTGGGAATTTTCGTCCCATTCGTGCGTCACTCAGCAATACCCGCTATTCAGCTAACCGGAAACTTCAGATCATACGATGTACAATGAACCTCATGAAATCCTGTCAGATACCTTTCGATGAACCTTCAAAAAGAAAAGACTATTGTATCGAACTTTCATTCAGCCGCATAAGTCAAATGCAGATAAGCATTACTATTTAAGAAACGTACATTTTTAATGATTGAGTTTTAACGTCTGTAAACTCAATCAACATCTGCAGAAAATGTGCAAAAATGTCAAATGTTTATGTCCTTTTTTGGAAGACTGATGTTCCGCGTAATAAAGCATTTTACGTAAAGCGCAGTAAGACGTAAGTTCGCCGTTAATCTCGAACTTATCTCACATACTCACAGGCTACTTCCTGCATTCTGATGTCCTTAGGTCTAATAAAACTGCAATGTAGGTACACTAATGATGCCTCTTTGTTGGGACAGGAAAGAAGTCGATATAATAAGCGGATCAAGTCATTTCTAAAATTTGAGAGCGCGTCCAAAAGTATATAGGAATTAGTTCTTTACTTATTAGAACTAGAAATATCCTTTTCGTTTTGTAAATATGAAGGAAATGCAATTTCCTGCTAAATTTACAATATTTGAATGACGAAATCTGTACCCACCCGATGCGAGAAATTTGGGTAGATTTACGAAATCCTCAGTAGTCAACAGAATCAAAAATACGCCGTCTAAATAAGGATTTATCTTGAAAATTATCTACATGGACGGCCGGCAAAGTGCCCACCAAAACACACCTCTAAAATTGAAAATCCTTTGAAAGCAAACTTTGACCTCCACAATTACAAACTTTAGGACCTTGTTCGCTATCAAATCAAAACCAGAAAAAATAATTTTGTGCATATTTTATATTAAATGTGTTTCAATTTCTATGGACATTGAAAATCAATGGGAAAATGTCATACCAATTAAGCAGCCATTGCTAACGCATGTGGCGGCCGGAGATAGGCGACTGTAATATCTTTGGATGATGTTGTCCGTTGATCAATATTACAACTACATCTAAACAAATTTTTTTTAATGAAAATCACATTTGGCTAACATTTGACGAGGTAGGCCAGCTACTGCATATAAGGTAATATACGGTGTTATATCTGTTCATAGGGTACGCGTTTCAACCATAAGAACTTACAGCTATACGGCCAGGGTTCAAGGATTGAAGGACTCCGAGTTTGGTAGAAAATGCACGCGTTTTATAGGTGCGCGTTAATATTGTATGGCACTGTTGGATGTTGGTGCTACTGGTATCGTGTTTGTAGGCATTACGAACAACCTTCAGCCGTGATGTTAGAGCGATGTTAGGGGTTGCCGCGTGAAGGAGATACGGTGCGATCTGGAGACTGGTTTCCGTAGGATGGCTATATTCGGTTCCTATCAAAAAGTGTTTTATGGAAGCCCATTTTTAGCTTAAGATAGTATGTGCCGCAGCTTTAGACTTGTCTTACTTAATCTGTAGACATCGAACTGCTGTTCAATTCTCAGATCAAAACTACCCCTGAGACTTTATTAACAGACCACTAAGAAATTTTAGATGACCTTGAAAATCGGCGAAAGCTATTTGTTAACCGATGTTTCTCAAAACTACCTGGGAAGGATGGCGGAAATTTTGTTTGACAAGCACGTGGTCATTATCAGACGTCAAATCAGCATAGTCGGAAGATACTAAATTTAAAATGTTGATGTCAGCATATCGAATTCTTTCTTTTATATTTTTTACCGATAAGCAAAGGAAGACGTCATGAGAGGAAGATGAGATCGTTTAGGATTCTCATTCGAACTCAGCATCAGATACAGTCGTAGACCGAGATTCTGGACGCAGTGTGACACCTCGTCGTCATCGAATGGGATCAGGTAGACATTCGAACAGCGTTTCAACGCCGTTTTCTCGGACATACAATTCATAATGGAAGAGGAAGAAAACAGCCAGCTAGCTGTCCTTGATGCCTCTGTCTGTGCTGGACCGAAACCTGGGGTGTTCAGGAAAACGACTAATACGACGCAAGTACTGAACTTCAACAGCAACCACCCAATCAGTCAAAAACCTAGTTGCGTAGGGGCGCTAGAGCAGCGTGTTGAGAAGCGCTGCAGTTAACCTTCAGAGACGACTGCTGAATTAAAATATCATCGAAGGGCGCTTAGAGGGAAGAGTTACCCGCATAACTTTGCCGGTTGGTGCATGAGTAAACTCGAAGAGACAATATGACCGGCTCCAGATTTCGGCGAGTTCTCCCGTACCTGAATAATGTCACGTAAGCTATCAGCCGCCTAATCACAGCATTCGAAGTTGAAGTTGCACACAGACCGGAGGCAGCCATCAGACGCCAGATCATTAGGCTGCTAGGCCCACCGCAACGGCAGAAAACGTCCGGAGTCCTTTATCGGACCGAGTTGCGGACAAAACACCTACCTCAGAGAAACTGGGGGACCAATCCGAACGCGAGTCGCCGAGCATGCAGCAGCAGTGAGGAGGAATGACGACGAGACCCGGCCACGCCTTCAAGCCTGATGGGGCCATAGTCCTTGCGAGATGTGGCAATCGCGCGGGCCGCGAGCTGCTTGAGTCATGGTTCTGCTGCTCGCATTTGATTAACAAGCGCAATGACCTTCCGCCTCCATATTCCCTGCTGCGGTTTTACCTAGGCAAAAGAATTAGCCACGTGGGGATGGCGCGGGCGATCAACAGTTCTGATGACAGTCAGTCAAACTGTCGACTGATCGTCAGGCCAATATTCAACGATGGTTGTGACAGCACGACCATTAGCGACCAACAACCAACCATCACATTAGATACCCCTACCAGCAATGAAGGCGAATGCTGTTGATCATGGTAGGCATGTGGCTGCCGTGACAATGTGTCGCATAAATACCGCACCCTTCGCGCCTTTACTACGCTTTACTATAAATGTCTCCGATGAGGGATTCGAGGGAGAGTCCGAAACGTCAGGCTGATAAAATTCATGTTCCGGCGATGGCATCTTCTTCTGAACTGCTTCCTGGAACTCGCCTATCTACTTCTATCGCCAGGGAAGAACTTTAAAAACTTACAGGTGGCGAATTATC